GATGTTCGGGTGGAGAGACCAGGATGAGAGGTACGTCACAGAAACAGCACAGTAAACTACACCGATGATACCAATATACAGAAAAATACCATGGCATTACCTTACAAATAGACCACAGACAGAGAATATACTAGTGAAAGCAAAGGATTGTCATTGTCATGTAATGATTAACCTGTTCAGATCAGATCGATTAATGCCAATAAACAAAAGAGGTTATCGTGAGACATTTTCCATAAAGAATTTTCATTGAAATTTATATCACACAACTTGTACAAGTATTCTGGCAGTGGCATGGTACTGATGCTTACAATATTCATATACCATTTTATTTCCATGGAAGTGTTGGTACTTATTGTACTTCAGTGTATTTCATTATATTTAAATTTTTGTGTAAGTGGAAGTATTACAATTACTAAAAAAAACTGAAAAAGAAATGAAAAATAAAGCTAAATAGAAAAAAATAGAGAAAAATAGAGATGATGATGATGATGATTTAATGTACATTACTAAAGCTTAAACTAAAAATTAAAATTAAAACTGAAAATATAAAAATAAAGCTAGTTCAAAATGTTAATAAATACTCTAATATTATATATAATACTAACACTGGTCCATGATACATGTACATGTTGATTTATATTTTCTTTAAAGGAGACATATTATGCCCCTTTTTACAATATGTAATATAAGCCTCTGGTGTCCCCAGAATGTGTCTGTGAAGTTTCAGCTCAAAATACTCCACATATCATTTATTATATCAATTTGAAAATGCCTATTTTACGGGGTTAATCTTTTTCACGCGTCCTTGGTTGGTAGATGCGCCGAGGACCTGATTATAGCACTTAAAACCTGGAAAAGTCAGATTTTCATGATATGTCACCTTTAAATTACACTTTCACTTCTTCTGTACTGCAAACAAACTGTGTGTCACAAAACAAAACAGAACACTCCCATTATAATCAATGAAGGGATGTGAAATGATTGACAGAACATGCTTGTGTCACGCACTTATAGACCAGACAGTCTTATTAATTTTTGAGTTCTGTCACATGCTTGCAGTCTAGATATAAATGTATTTTTTTATAAAAAAGGATAGCTCTGGCTATGATCTATTCTGACTAAATTCAGTTTTTTTTATTATGGCTTATTACTTGAAATGTAACTATAATGCCGTACGTGTGTGTGTGTGTGTTGTCTCGCAGAAGGTGAAGAGCTGTGGTCTGAAGCGGATTCGTCTTGTTCTGGTCAGCCGATCCATCTGTGGCAGTTCCTCAGAGAACTTCTGCTCAAACCTCACAGTTACGGACGCTGCATCCGCTGGCTGAATAAAGAGAAAGGTGAGGACATGACAGCTCTCCTGCACAATAATGGAAATAATGGATGTCCATGGTCTGTTCAAATTAGGCCACACTTTCCATGATAATTTACACGACAGTTTGCTGAGCTATTTCCAGTACCATGCTGCATTCTTAAAAATAATGGTTCTTGGTATCTGTGGTTCCATGAAAAACCTTTAACATCTATGAAACCTTTCCATTCCACAAAATGGTTCTTTATAGTGGAAAAAGGGTTGTTATTCAATCTATGACAAATGGTTCTAGTAAGAACTGTTTACGGAAAGGTTCTTTGAAGAACCAATGGTTCTTGGTAATGGTTCTTCTATGGAATTGCTGCGAAAACCCATTTTGGAACCTTTATTTTTAAGAGTGACAATGGAAAAAGGTTCTTTAGAGATTATTAAAATGTTCTTCACACTAAGAAAAACAGGGTTCTTTTTAGAACTGTTCACTTAAATGTTCTTTGAGGAACCAGAAATTGTTCTTCAATGGCATTGCTGGGGGAAAAAAAACCCTTGTACAACCTTTTTATGAGTGTACATGTCCAAAAACATGGTAGTACCACTCTGATATTTGGTGTGTTAGTAAAGCAACTTACCTAATGCCATAACGGACGTGTTTTGGATGCGTGTCTTCACAGGGATCTTCAAAATCGAAGATTCGGCTCACGTGGCGCGTCTCTGGGGTTTGAGGAAGAACCGTCCAGCGATGAACTATGACAAACTCAGCCGCTCTATTCGGCAGTACTATAAAAAGGGCATCATCCGCAAGCCAGATGTCTCACAAAGACTCGTCTATCAGTTCGTCCATCCGGTATAGGAGAGATCGTGAACTCAGCCACTGAGAACTGACAAGCCCTCCTACACAGACTATTTCTGGGTTTTGCATGACAGTGAAACCAAGAAAGATGCAAGAAAGTTCCAAGATATAATTGTGCTTGGAAACGTCCAATATGTACTTGCACTCTTTTAAAAACTCCTGTGTGTCTGTTAAAATGTAGTATCAGCTTTGCACTGCTACTTTCTGTTACTTTAAGAAAAGCCTGTCAAATAAATGATGATGTTTAACAGAAGCACTAAGAGAGATTTAGTAGATATTCTTTGAAGTATGTTACAGGTTACTCGCAATGTCTGCCTGTCAGCGTGTGAATCCTGCCAGCGTGTCTCTGAGCAAACCTTGGTTTCCCTGACCATGATTTGCAGTGGAATGACTCGAGTTTGCGTTAATCTCTGGCTGCCACCCAACAAACATCCCCTTTTTTCTGGCTTGTGATTAATTGCACTGCAAACCTTTCAAGTCTGCCCATGTGAACTTTCTCCACGTTCTTCAGTAATCGGCCACCTTTGCACGCTCCTCCCTGCTCACGTCACATTTCACACTGATGCAAACGAGGGCTTATAGTGGCCCGTGAATTTTCATACACTGCATTTGTCACGTGTGTTGTAACAGTTAATTGACAGGTTTAAGTCAGGAAGTCCGAGTTTAGGAGAGAAAGTCATTTGGAGCCTGAGAGAGGTTTGGTTTCTATTGTGGCTCTTGTATTTTGTTAAATCTCTATTGTGAAGTCTAATCTAGAAGAGTCACTGGATAACAGTTGTTTTCACTAATGCCGGCATTACAAAATATTATCTGTACTTATACAGTTATATCAAAGCTGAGAGGTAATTTTTCATGTTCATTCAGTTGTTGTTCCTAATGCATTTCTTTATTAAATATTCTTTTTTTCATCCTGTTGTGTTGTGGATCATTCACTTGATCTTTTACAATCATACAATCATTTTAACTCTATAGAATAGTAACACCAAATTTTTTGGACATGGAACTATAGTAGAATTTCGCATGGTATTACCATAGAATCTATCACTGTACCATGGTACATATGTTGTAAAAGTGTATGGGAGAATCTCAAAAAAAAAAAAAAAATTTTTTTTTAAATGCCCCTATTATGGGTAATGAAAGGTTCATATTTTGGTTTTGGGAGTCCCCAACAAAAGGTTGACATGCATGCAAGGTCAAAAAACACTTTCATTGTCTTATAATATGCATTTATTTTTACCTTACTTGCTCAACGACTCCCAAACGATTCGCTCAACTATTCATTTTTCCAAACCCCCTTCTTTGCATGACGCTAATCTGCGGTGATTGGTCTCAGTTTAATTTCATTATGTCTGTAATGCCTGATAAAGCAGGTTTGTGAGTGCAGTGCTGCTTTGTGTACAGTGTTACCGGGGAAACCGCTATTTTTTATTTTCATTCTGACCAACGCGAAAAGACCAACAAGTGGGCGGGCAATATGCTAATGTTTCATGTTGACCTCAACATGAAACGGCTTGGGATTCGTTTTAAAAAGGACTCCTTTCAATGATTCAGAGTCGACTCTTTCTTTTGAGAGACAATAACTTTATACACGGTGCACTTTCAGATTTAACACTTTGCAGTATGTTTTCATTCACTTAGAGCTGTGTTACACACTGCATGAAAGGTAATTTAAAAAAATCCATAATAGGGGCACTTTAAGATATAAAATAATGTTTATTTTGCAATATTTTTTGACTTCCATGACAATTAATACTCCATCCAAATTCTTAATACCATGATTTTTTTGCTTTGAGATGCAAATAAAATTAAGATTTTTATTAAATATTATATAATGTATTATTATATATTACATATATAATTTCATTTTCTTCTAATATGACTTATTTTGAGTTTGTTACATTTGAGATTTTTCTGCTGAGATGTAAATACAATTAAGACAATTCTCAGACTAAATATTATACATACATTTATTCAATGTATACAATTTACATACAATTTCATCATTTCAATATTTTTATTCTAACAATACCTTTTTTGTATTTTTATGAATAATTATATTTTTTATGAAAAATATCAATTAATAAAATCTAAAAAGCTTCATTTTCTTTAAGAAAAATATTACTTCTTATTTTTCTAGCTATCAATTTTGAGGCGAAATATGACGATTTCCTCTAGATTATTGGACACTATAATCAGACTAGTAAAGGACTTCTGCAATCCTGACCTCTAGTGGTGACCCAAAGCTTTGTATTTCACTCATTTGCATTGGTCTCAGATTCATGAGGTTTTTTATTGTGAACTTGAATGGAACAGTTACTACACTGACATGAAGAGTAAAATACATCAGTCCAGTCTAAACATACAGTATATATACATCACCTCCTCCATCCACAATCCATATCAGCTGAGCCTGAGCAAAGCTAAAAACATGACAAAAGAAATCACCATAGATTATTATGAACATTGTTGCGCTACAGTAAGGAGTTTGCCCACTGAATCAGTTATGGATCGCATGTTAAAAGACACACCCAGTCTCATAAACAAGCTCAAAAATTCTGAATTTGTATCATTAAATCCAAAACTTCCACCAGCAGTCCTTTACGATAAGGATATCAAAAAAAAAAGAAAAAAAAAAAAGTTTCTAGACACTTCTCCAAAGTTCTGCACTCTTTTAAGTGAAAACTTACAATTTGTTCTTTGTTCACAATTTTTTAAAAATAGGTTTAAAAAAAGAAGAAGAAAAGATAAAAAACAAAACAAAGAAAAGTGAATTTAAGGTGTTTTGTGGCATTATTTACACTTGGAAAAAAAATCATGACGCATTAAAGCAAAACTGACCCTATTTACACACGTTTCTGGTCTTATTGTGCACAATTCGTCGAGAAAAATATGTAAAAAAAATAAAAATGCTCCGCCTCTACAACAACTCTCCTTGTTGAATGATGTCATCAAGCCCCACCCCTCAACTACATGGATCCATTCTAGTATGTAACGCCCTCTTTTCACATCCAATTAGCATAAAAGCAAGTCCCGCTCTACATTTTTCTCATTGAATATCCATAAATACCTCAAATTATGTAAGCGAAATAGATTGAAAATGCCGTTTCATGTTGATACAGGAGAAAGAGCCACTAGGTTTAACACAGAACCTCCACTTCAAAATAAAAGTCTAGTATACACATTGCATAGCTGATTCTCGCTATGCTAGGCTTCATGGACGTCATCACATTAATATTGTTACAGGAGACCATACGCGAACACATGTCAGCAGCACAATAATTCATACTGAACATGGCTACATAGACGCACAGAATCATTCCCTGCTCTCGCTGGGGTACGATATGTGTTTCGGATACTGTAGGTTTTATTCGTTATGGTATTAAGGAAATGCTGCGTGAAGCTTCTCAGCAAGTCAATCAGGCAAGGAAATTGTCGTTTCTCTGAAATCTCGCATTCGAGCAGTGCGGGGTAAAGTCTTTAAGGCCTTCTTCACCGCACAAGGCAACTAAACGGGCTCGGCGTAGTTAGCTGGGTACAAGCCTAGCTGACCGCTGTCCAACCGGCCTCTGCACCAACCCTGGTCGTCCTCATCCTCCAGTTTGGTCAGCTCTTCTCCTGAGAAAACATGGACCTATGGTTAATATGAGCAGATAAAATGCAAAGATGGGCATTTTTAAGAATAAAACACTGATTTTGTAGTAACTGTGCTAGTTTCATGCCTCTTGTCTTTTGATCCATTTTTTCAGGGTTCTTTGATGAATAAAATGTTTGGGTTTTTTTACATTTAAAATAGAGTCTATTTTAACATTATAAATGTCCTTACTGTCACTTTCAATCAATTTAATGCATCCCTGCTGAATAAAAGTATAGTTATTTTTAAAAATCAGCTAAAATTTAGTTCATCAGCAGTTCACTGGCATATAGAACATATAAACAGAAACTATGTTTATGAATGCTTTATATTCATAAAAAAGACGACTTAGATCTAGATTTTAAGGATCAAACACTGATTTTCTAGTAGCTGTGGTAGTTTCATGTCTCTTGAATTTTCTTTTCACACAATAAAATTATAATTATAAAAATATATTTAATGTTCATTTATTTATTCTGGCAAGTGTGCATTATAATATACATCTGACTGTACTTTAGCCCTTACGTACATTCATAACACAGCTCACTATTCGAATATTAAAAAATGTTTTGAGATATTTATATAACATTTGACTCACAGTAAGAAAACAGGTACAGTTTAACATTCCCACAACCAAAATGGAATTTTTTGAAAACATTTATAGAACATAAATTGTAGGCTATAACATTTTCATATAAAATATAAATAATATAAAAAATAAAAATATTTCTATTTCAAAAAAATGCTGTTCTTTTCAACTTTCTATTCATCAAAGAAGGTTTTCACAAAAATATGAAGCAACACAACTATTTTCAACATTGATGATAATAATAAGCAGTCTCTTGCGCAGCAAATCAGCATATTAGAATGATTTCTGAAGGATCATGTGACACTGAAGACTGGAGTAATGATGCTGAAAATTCAGCTTTGATCACAGGAATCCCTGATCTACACCATGTGTGACTTGAGTCAGCGTGACTCCATCATGGTTCCTCTTCACCTTCTCTTTCTTATTAATGGAGTGGCTCAGCTCTGGGTTGAACTCCTGATCCAGAGACAGGATGGATTATGGGTGATATTCAGTAACTAGCACCAGATATGTGGCGCTGCACATCCTCACAGATCCCACATACAGACTTTACCTCAAACTGCGGCCAGTTCATGTGCATGCCTGGCCCGTGGACGTTGCTGAACAACTTGAGGTCTTCTTGAGCACTGGCTGAGGCGATGGTTCGCTCTAGTTCCCCGTAGACTGCAGCATAGCTGTAGAGATTGAATTAAAGAGATTATTAAGAGACTGATGACTGGTTTGGTAAATGCAATTTTCTTATATATTCATGTATTTCCTATTTCAATAGGAAGTTGGGGCAGGGCATTGAAAGGCTATTAAAATTATAATTTGTGAATTTTGTATATGGGCCAGCATAAATATTTAGAGAAAGACTGCAACTTATAAATCATATAGTTTGGGGTCGGTATGATTTTTAATGAAAAAAGTCTATATAATATGTAATGTGTGTGTGTGTGTGTGTGATTACAGTTTATATTATATTCATATACAAAACAGTTATTTTAAATTGTAATAATATTTCACAATATTACTTCTAGCCAAGGCTGTATTTAAAACATCTTACCAGTCCCAAACTTCTGAAGGGCAGTATGGGTCTCACAGGTTTTGATTGGTGATTCTCACCTGCTTTAAATGTGAGCTCATCTTGTTCTTGGCCCTCGTAGTCATACAGCGCTCTCACTCGCACTCCTTTACTCTCCTCTTCGAACGGATTTTCACCGCCATTTGTTTCGCTGGCTGGTTGAGCCGCAGGCGGCTGCTCGTCATCGGACCATTCGGCAGAATACTGCTGGTTCTTCTCAGAACTGCTCACGCTGAAGAGCACAACCAGATGAGAGAAGCTCAAGTTAAGTTTCTTCGTAGATGAAAACATTAACAAAGAGCTTCAATAGCACAAAAGCATCAGTACCTGCCCCGGTTTGCAGTCTGCGGTGTGCCCTGATCTACACCATGTGTGACTTGAGTCAACGTGACTCCATCATGGTTCCTCTTCACCTTCTCTTTCTTATTAATGGAGTGGCTCAGCTCTGGGTTGAACTCCTGATTCAGAGACAGGATGGATTATGAGTGATATTCAGTAACTAGCACCAGATATGTGGTGTTGCACATCCTCACAGATCCCACATACTGACTTTACCTCAAACTGCGGCCAGTTCATGTGCATGCCTGGCCCGTGGACGTTGCTGAACAACTTGAGGTCTTCTTGAGCACTGGCTGAGGCGATGGTTCGCTCTAGTTCCCCGTAGACTGCAGCATAGCTGTAGAGATTGAATTAAAGAGATTATTAAGAGACTGATGACTGGTTTGGTAAATGCAATTTTCTTATATATTCATGTATTTCCTATTTCAATAGGAAGTTGGGGCAGGGCATTGAAAGGCTATTAAAATTATAATTTGTGAATTTTGTATATGGGCCAGCATAAATATTTAGAGAAAGACTGCAACTTATAAATCATATAGTTTGGGGTCGGTATGATTTTTAATGAAAAAAGTCTATATAATATGTAATGTGTGTGTGTGTGTGTGTGTGCATATACTGTATATACATATAGGTTTGGGGTTGGGAAGATTTTTTTGTTGTGTCTTTGAAAGTCTGTTCTGCTCACCAAGGCTGCATTTATTTGATCAAAAATTACAGTACAAACTGTAATATTGTTAAGTATTATTAAAATGAAACAGGACTGTTTTCTATTTAAATATATTGTAAAATGTAATTTATTCCTGTGATGCAAAGCTGAATTTTCAGCGTCATTACTCCAGTCTTCAGTGTCACATGATCCTTCAGAAATCATTCTAATATGCTGATTTGCAGCTCAAGTAATATTTATTATTTCATAATACATACAATATTATGAATAATACCTTTACTGTCACTTATTAATTGAATGCATCATTGCTGACTAAAAAGCTATATAACTATATATATATATATATATATATAAATATATATATATACAGTGGGTACGGAAAGTATTCAGACCCCCTTAAATTTTTCACTCTTTGTTATATTGCAGCCATTTGCTAAAATCATTTAAGTAAATTTTTTTTCCTCATTAATTAAAAGTTTCATTCCTCAATAGGACACTAGCATATAGATGACCTCAAAAGACATCAAAAACCAGAAATCAAGTATGTTTATGAATGTATTATGTTCATAAAAAGACAAGACTTCAGACCACCAGGTTCAGGTGATTTGAAGCTTACCTTTGGCTCTCGGTGAGGTTAAGATGGCGTTTGATATCCAGAAGCACTTCCCGGAGGAAGTTCAGCCTCTTCTCCTCAAACTGCTGGCACTGCTCAAACACCACCTCCATGTTCTCCATGTACTGCGGCGTGCACTTGCTGAGCTCATCAAGGCTCTTCTCGTATTTCTCTTTGGCCTGAAACACAAAACAAACAGCATCTTAAATCCTCTGACTTGCTGCATATGAGACTCCTCATTTATGCAAATGTAAAGAGGTGAGCCAATCATAACAGAGAGTATTTGCATAAAGTTCTAAAAGTTCAATTCTGACCCAGTTCATGGGCCAGAGAGGACAAAAAATGGTCATGTTTGGTACACAAAACCTGCTATATTATAAGTGGACTGCAAAGAAAAAAATATGAAATAGTAAATTCAGGTGGATATATTAAATAAGAAATAAGGCAATTTTTAGACACACTGAAATAATGAATATTTGTCAGGGAAATGTGATTAAGTGTCATGAAAATAATGACAAAATGCAAAACCCATTTTAGGTAAATATATTTCATAAGAAATAAAACTATTTTAGGACAATTAAGATTTTTTCATATATAATGCATGTTGTGCATAATATGCATTATTTCCTTGCCTGACCTTTTGAACGTCGTTTTTGCACTTGTCTAACTTCTCCTGGAGTTTCTTTTGCTGATCTGATGTGACTGATGCCTCTCCTTTGCTATTGGCCTCCCTTGTGGATGCAATTTTTTCTTCTTTGCAGGCCATGTGGTACGCTTTCTTTGCTGTTTCCAACTGCAGATTGAAGATAAGATGAACTTGATAAGCATAAGCAGTTTAAGGCAATTGTTTGTTGATTTGAGCAAAGATATTTTCAAAATGACTTGCAGTTCCAAGTCAGGACATAACATTAAAAGTGCATTAAGTCAGTCTTTGTCTATGGCTATATTTGCAGTAGAATACTAGTGCGCTGCTTGCTGCGTATGTGAAACAGAACACATTACTTAATGACAAACATTTCAAACAGTAGTATGCCGCCATGCATTACGTGTTTAATTCATGTTTTATTTTGCATGTTTAAATCAAATATTTTATTGATATTGATTCCGTTTCCATTGTCACTCTAAAAATGCAATGTAAAGTTGCGCACATTGCATTCTGGGATATAGCTGTCCCACACATTGCTCTTTTGTATACTACACATTTAGGCAAATATACTCTAGTATTCCATGCATACAGAAAATATGCACACTATGCACAGTATGAACACTATTTACATTCCAAATTGCCTCTAATTCATCAGCATTTATGGGATTTCACTTAAGGTCACAAAAATAAGAAGCTGATTTTTTTTTTCACAAGACATTTTTTGAAAGTAATATTTATGTTTTTGATTGGAAATATTACTTGGTGTGCCTTTAAAATCTGTAAATTTTAAATGTGCACACTAATGTTCAAAATTTAGGGGTTTGGGTTTTGAAAGATGTTTTTTTTTTCTCACCAAGGTTGCATTTATAAAAATGGATAACAACAGTAATATTGTGAAATATTATTACAAATTAACAGACTGTTTTCTATTTTAATATATTTAAAATTTTAATTTATTCCTGTGATCAAATCTGAATTTTCAGCATCATTACTCCAGTCTTCAGTGTCACATGATCCTTCAGAAATCATTCTAAAATGCCATTTGCTGCTCAAGGAACATTTCTGATTATCATCAATGTTGAAACAGTTGTGCTGCTTCATATTTTTGTGGAAACCATGATGCATTTTATTTACCAGGATTCTTTGAAAAATACAAAGTTCAAAAGAACATCATTGCACATTGCATATTTAAAAGAGAAAGTGCCACAAAGCTCTGTCTCCTCACCTCTTTGAGTTTTTTGGCCCAAGGTTTCTGGGCTTTCCGGAAACCCTCTTCTGCCTCTTTGGTTTCTTTGAAGCCGCCCATCATTTGTTTGTGGTAGGCCTCTTTCTGCCAGTTCTTCACCTTCTCTAAGTCCTCGTTCAGCAGGTTATTTTTCACCTCCTGGTGCAAGTCGCTCACCTTTTCTGCTTCTGTCATCAGAGCGACCCAGGCTCTCTCCAAAGTCCCGTACTGCGGCCCTGCGAGCGGCAATAAACAACGCATTCAAATTGATTGAGTGAGAAAGCGAGGGCAAAAGAGAAGTTTATTTAGCTTAAGAAGCAACAAAACATTTGCTTTCAAGATTGTCGCTTTAAATCTATTCAAGGATTTCTGCACAAACACGGTTCTCCATGGTCACATCATCAATCATTCAGCACCTCTCTCCACCAGCTGCCTCCACCTCTTGGACCAGTCGGTGAGCTGCTGCGCATAGGCCTTCTCGATCTTGGCACGCTCCTGGATGCAACTCATCATGTCATTGCAGAGTCGATGGCCATCCTCGATTCGCTTTACTGTACGCTTGTAGTTCCCAACCTGAGAAACATTGATACATTCTGAAATAGGTCAAGTCACGGACAGGGCAGCAGTAAAGCATTAGAGCTAAATGATCTGTAATTCAATAGAAAACCGTGACTGTCCACTTCTTCAGTGTCCTTGGTTCCATATGGATAAAAAAAAAAACATACAACAAACAAATGTAATCTACAAAAATGTAATCTAATCTAAAATAATAATAAAACTAAATCTAATTAATTTAACCAACCAATAAAATTTGGATTTGAAATGAAAAAAGTATATTAAAATCATCAAAAAAATTGTTCTCTCAATAGTTTTATATTGTTATATATACACTGTATATGTATAATATACTTGTAATATATATATTTATTACATAATACTATACATGATATATCATGAAAAAATGATATAACTAATATAAAAAAATTACATAAAAATTATAAATATGAAATTGCATAGTGTGTGCCGTATGCATACTATATACTACAGCGATAGTAAGAGTAGTATAACAGTATAGATATAGCCCATCTTCTTAAACAAACAATAAAACAAAAATATAAATTATATAAAAAATAAAACATCAAATTAATTCTTAATATATCTAAATTATATATAGACATTTTAGGTGTAATTATTTATTTGATCAATTTTTATTAAATATCATATATTTTATAATTACATAGTTTAAGAGCATCGGGATACTTAATTACGTAATTTGGAAGATCTCTCTTAGGATTATGCCAGAAATTGTATTCTATCAAACACATTTTTATATGGAGTCAAAATGATATTTACTTGCTTGTAACAATCTCAAACCTCACGCTAGGTCTGGCTTGAAAGCTTTATATTATCTGTTAAAAATTGATTTCTCTGTGGAGAAAGTGAATGGGATCTTACTAGAGTCTGCTCTATAATTTATGGCAGATAAATCAACAACAATGACACAGTTTTACTATGTTAATACCATGCTGATCAATATAATGTTTGGTTCCCTTTGGCTGAATGACACACTTCCACATCACTGAAAGTCGATTAGTCAATATGATACAACATCACGTGACAATCGCTAACAGCATGTTCGGCATCTAATCAACCACCAGCGCTTCACAGCCGTAGTTGCCTGTGCATGCCTGGACAAATGAGATATGTGTGATTAATAATATTCAAAAACAACATGTAGTAAGATTTTGAGCCTGACCTCCCAGAAACTGTCCGTGGTCTCGTCGGACATGGCGGACTCATCGTAGGCACCCGACATGCTGTGAGATTTGGCAGAGCAGGACTGAAGCTAACAAATGAAATTCACCATGTACTGCAGAAAAGAGAAAATGACAAAAGTGATGAGAACATAAGCACTATTGTGCAAAAACTTACCAAGAACAACAAAGTAAAGTATTTTACCCTCTATACCAACCTAACAGGACCTCCTACACGAAAATGATGCTTTGTTAAATACATTTAAAACATCAAAATGTCAAGTTGGACCATGCATTTAGTAATTTAAAAGAATAGTTCACCATAAAATGCATTGGATCCTCTGCAGTGAATGGGTGCCGTCAGAATGAGAGTCCAAACAGCTAAAAAATCATCACAATAATCCACACCACTCCAATCCATCAGTTAACGTCTTGTGAAGCGAAAAGTTGGTATGAAACTAATCCAACATTAAGACGTTTTAACTTCAAACTGTTGCCTCCAGCTAAAATATTTCTGCAGTGAAAAGGTTGTCTCTTCTGAATCATGAGAGAAATCTGCACAGATCAAGCACTGTTTACAACCAAAAACAGTCAAAACAGCTCTAAACAAAGATGCTGGTGGATTTTAATGAGCGTTATTATGAATTATGAACTAGTATTTTGGCCAGCTGGGTAACATACTTGTTCAAACGGTAAACCGGTTTAAATTACGGACACGGTATGAAAAAATAAATAAAAATGGCATACCGGTACAAGCGGCTAAGCAACGTTAACTGCATACACTTCTGACTAATGATTGGAGAACTTTTAGAACTATTGATAACACACAATTAATGCTTTAACCAACTGTAAACGGCTGTTAACAGAGGCCAGAGACGCTGAAGACGAACGTGAAGAGGAGAAAACACTGTAGCAGAGCAAACTCACTTCACCATGCGCAAAATATTGGAAGAAAATCTTACATGCTGAACTGGGAGTGGGGGTTGACATGAATGCATCCCTGATGGGAACTGGCTGTGTTCAGAAAAGTTTAGATGGTATTTTCTTTTCATCTTACCTCCATATTGCATATTAATGTAGTATTTAAAAGAGCAGCGCTGCTTTGTTTACAGCTGTACCCAAGGAAACGCTATGTCACAGCTGTTCCATAAGCGCCACCTGCTGGCAGAGAGTGAATTTGTTTCATTCATGTTTTATGTGGCATAATTTCACAAAGCTAAGGTCAGACCATTATGTTTTTGCTTCAAATTGTGAAATTATACAATCTAATTTACATCAAAAGCTGCTCATGTAGCATGTTTGTTTGGATCTTAATTGAAATGCAGTGGTTCTGTTTCATGCATTCTGATTCATATAAAGGCACAATCAGGGGGGGAAATGTGATAACCGTGAAGTCAGAATCCTAAAAAAAACAAAAAAACATTTAGTGCCCAGAACTAGCCAGGAGCGATAAAGTTGAAGTTAAAAACGTCTCGGAAATGTCTGGATTCGTTTCTTACAAACATGCAGTTTTTCGATATACTGGAGTGGTGTGGATTACTTGTGGATTATTGTGATGCTTTTATCAGCTGTTTGGACTCTCATTCTGACAGCACCCATTCACTGCAGAGGATCCACTGGTGAGCAAGTGATGGAATGCTACATTTCTCCAAATCTATTCCTATGAACAAATAAACTCATCTACATCTTGAATGGCCTGAGGGTGAGTACATTTTCAGCAAATTTTCATTTTTAGGTGAACTATTCCTTTAAATAGTCTTTTGTTTTGTGTTAGGCATGAATTTAGTTTTCTGAGCATTCAAGACTAATTTACAAACTTGCACAGATGTCCATAATGGGTGCCCTGTCGCTGACTACCAACCCAAGTAGCCTCTTCAATATTAAAAATGTCATTTGGTTACATGCCTATTGCTAAATCACTGACAAAAAGAAAACAAAGTGGAGCCCAAAACAGCCCTGGAGGAATCTTTTAGCAATCAAGTGGAAACTAGATCTGTTGTTCTGGACATGCACGCTCTCATGGATCGGCAAGGTTATTTTAAACCAATATAGTTCCTCCACTAACCCAAACCCAATATTTCTGGGAGTGGCGATTCATGATAAAGACCATCATTTCAACTGAATCTAAACAGAGACGCTGTCTGACAAAGCATGTCGCTGCGGTTTCATATACAACGCAGGGAATATTTGCAATAGTAATGGCTTGTAAGTTATATTGTTTTGTGTTTATCTAAACCCAGACAATACCTAATTGAATCTGTCGAAGGAAACTTAATTAAAATGTCATTTTTGCCTGTACAAAACATTCAATAACATGCTAATGTGACAAATTAGTAATGTAGAGATCTATGTGATTTTGTATATTCTTCTGTATGTATACGTCTATATTCTGATATTCTGTTTATTATATTCTCACTTAAAGAATAGCCACCAAAAGTCCAGACTTTGAACACAAAGGTGTCATCTGACCAGACTACACAAATGATTCAGTATGATTAAATCCCACGGCCACTTTATATCTGGCCACATTATGCCTGGAAACAAACACTCAGCTTCAGTTTGAGGCCTGATTGTATCATGATAATTTAACTCTCTATCAGTGATTGACAACCATCTCGTCAAAGTGATGGACATCAATCAAAGTGAAAACACTGAAGGAAATGACCGAGAACCCAGAGAGAAGAGACAAATCCAATGTCACAGTATACAAACATGACCTGAACGCACAACAACATCTTAAAACATCTAACATAACCTTGGGAGAAAATGTATGAATGCCATACTATGGCTCGCTGAAGGCGTACTAGGAAAACGAACAAAAACGACATTGACAAATGACTCAAGTGACTTCTGAGTGTTTGCAATGATAATAAAATTATAGGCGAGCCATGATGATGTCATGCCATTATTCAGACCTGACAAGATGAGACGTTCTGATTTAAGGGCCTCCAGTTATTTATTAAGACACCGGAAGGGGGGGCTGAATAATGATTGTGTCAACTGAAACCAATAAATGTGAACACAGTTCAGAGAGACAAAAACAATGACGTACGGCATAAATGCACCAAAATGAACAACAAAGAAATCTTAAATCTATACACAAATAAGACCTTTAAGTGATCTACATGTTGCACACAATCCTTTCTGTCATCTGATTGATAGTATCACAAAGCCTTTTTATCACTGTTCAAACGTCCACCTCCAGATTGTGGTTCACGTGTCTTTTTGCTGTGAAATCTTTACTAATTTTTATAAAGTAAATGCAAGAATAACTTACGAATATTGTTAGTAATGATGGTAACACTTTACAGTAATGTTCCATTTGTTAACTATATTTAATGCATTAGCTAACATTGAGCAATGCATTGTTACAGAATTTATTAATCTTTGTTAACATTAGTTAATAAAAATACAACTGTTCATTGTTAGTTCATGTTAGCTCAGGTCCATTAAATAATATTAACGTTAACAAATGGAACCTTATTGTAAAGTGTTACGGTAATTCTTCAAGATGAACACTTTATGGCCTGAAGCATCTTTGGTTTATTTAACTATCCATAAATCATTTTCTTTTAAAGGGGTCATATAATGCGATTTAAATTTTTCCTTTCTCTTTTAAGTGTTACAAGCTCTTGGGTGCATAAGAAGATCTGTAAAGTTGCAAAGACTAAAGTCTCAAATCCAAAGAGATATTCTTTATAAAATTTAAGAGTCAACCACACCTACCTAAAACGGCTCGTTCTAACACGCCCCCACGTCTACGTCACGATGTGGGAAGATTTGCATAACGCCGCCCAAATGTTCACACAAAGAAAGAAGGCGTAACTTTTATTCGCTGTGGTATTGTTGCTGCCGCCATGTCGTGAAGATGCTGGGTGTTTCGTTGTGATTCTTTTTAGCAACATCATATGACCCCTTTAAAAAGAAAAATCATGTTTTCTATTTATTTGTTCATCTCTCATCATCATGTATTGTATTGCATTGCATTATATGTTTTAAAACTACAAAGCTTTTATGATAAAGATTTTATGTAAGTATCTGCTATACTGTTATAATGATCTCATTGATTTATATTACAACCAGAATTTCTAACTTTTTGGTTACATAAATATCAGCATCTGCACAAAATTGCATACTTTTGCTCAGTTTGAGCAATAAACCTGAGGTCTTTTTTCTTGAGTTTGAGCTCCATATTCTCTTCTGCAACATATGTGAGACATAAAACCCTGATGTATCAAATACAAATGAAAAAATATATATATGCAGCTTTTTAAAAATATTTTGTCTAAAGCCATTTTGTCTAAAAACTTTACAGGGTTAAAGAAATTATTGTGCAAGTTGCTCAAAAACAGTTTGGCAAAATGGCCTCAATTTGGGCAGCATGTCCAGTTAATCCATTCAAACTGACGTGGCGGCAGTGGGCGGCGTTTTAATCATTGCACATGACTCTATTTGGCACATCAGACAAAAGAACTGTAAAAGAGGTTGGGCATCCTAAACTGTTGATTGACTTAGATCATAGCAACATTCAAAACATTGCATCACAAATTCATAAAACATGCCACATTATTTAAGATCATAAACTTTAATCACTTTCTATATTTAGATCACATTAAAATGTCTTCAAATAAGTAAGACAACTTTATCTTGGCATTAAATACTATCTTTATCTCATTTCAAATTATATGAGACAGTATTAAATAATACAAGCACATTCAAATACAATCTACACGCCAACAGATGGTCACTGCATGTATGAATGCACTAAAATACACACAAAAACAGAGACTCCAGCCATTGCATGTGTTAAAGTAACTCTGATAAACTCAACTAATCATAATTAAATGTATACCTTGAATGCAATGCAAGCAGCATGAAAGCGTCTGCCAAATGCATGAATGCAAATACGAGTCCGACAGTCATAAACAAAACCCCACGCTTCCCCCAAACAAAGCTCTCCTCCAGCACATGCATCATCTCCTCCATACTGATGACGAACACTCCAACCACGACAAAAGAGGAAAAGCAACAAAAGGCTCACCAATCCCCCGCGTTCAGCCAGGGCACAGGCTGCCTTCAGATCCCAGGCACGTGGGACCCTCCACCGCCAAAAAACAACCCCAACTGCTTCTCCGCTTCACACTTTTGTTCAGTTTCGCCTCTTTGTTCCTGGGTTAAGCGTTTCGTTAGGCTTTAGAGTAACTGAAGACGCAGTCAAACTCACTGTATGCTGGGTAGTTAAAAACGCTTCTTGGTGAAAAAAGTGGGTGTTCACAAGTGCAGCAGTTTGTGTGTGTGTGTGTGTGTGTGTGTGTGTGTGTGTGTGTGTGTGTGAGAGAGAGAGAGAGAGAGAGAGACTAATCACACTTGACTTGAATTATTCTGACAGAGTGAGGTGGGGGGGACTTGGGGTGAAGGGGGGTGAATTCAGCTTTAAGGCTTCTATTTATTTTCGACAAAAACAACACTGAAGACAATATTTGGTGCTATTTTCAACAGATTTCTTTTACAATTTTATAGCATTTTTATTTTATAAATTGTATTATTTTATTAACATATTATATAGCATATCTTATAATTATATAAAATTATTGGTCCCACTTTTTTTCAGTACATAGTATTTAAGGCCACCTAATATAAAGTGTGACCAAATTATTTAATTAATATGACAGTACATTAGGTTACACTAAAGTCATTTTTAAAGATCAGATCAGACTAAAAGACCAGACTAACTTGAGAAAGTCTCACAAATCTCACAGAAATTATATAAAATTCTAACTGTAAGATATTTTATATTGGATTAGAATTCAGCTTTAAGGCTTCTATCTATCTACTTGTTTGTTTGTTTTTTTTACAAAAAACGCTGAAGAGGTTGTTTGCACATGACGTCACTGATGACGCGCGAAATGCAGCTGGAGGGCAGGAAGTGATTTTTCTCTCCATAGGAATCACTAGCAGAAACTCCAAATGCTAGTGTTTTGCGTTGTTTATGGATGCTTAAATTGGCCAAACCGAGAAATCACAAGGAGCTTTTTAATAATTATAATTGTATAGCAATTTATTCCAGTTATACAGCAATATTATGATAAAACAATGTCATGAAATGATGGAAATGATGCTTTACAGTTATGTAATACTTATATATGTGAAATGTCATATATATATGAAAATGATAAAAAAAGACCAGGAATGACAGAACCGCTGGAACATTTCTTGACATTTTTCCATGACAGTATGTTAATGATTGATGAATGAGTTTCTGTGTTATAAAAAGACAGGGACATAATAATGTCTAGTGGCATGTTAACGACTGTTTACCAACCAAAGCTTAGCATACATTTCTCATTTCTCATCAGGCCAGTAATGCAGTTATAGTTAAAAATGGTCTAACCAGTTTGTTTGCTTTTGGAAATACCGAAAATGTATATTCTAAATATATACTACCTTTCAAAAGCTGGGCGTCTGTAAGATGTTTTAATGCTTTTGAAAGAAGTCTCTTTTGCTCACCAAGGCTGCATTTATTTGATTAAAAATACCATAAACCCAGTAATATTCTGAAATATTATTACTATTTAAAACAATTGCTTTCTGTTTGAATATGTTTTAAAATCCAGTTTATTCCTGTGAAGCAAGGCTGATTTTTCAGCATCATTACTCCAGTCTGCAGTGTCACATGATCCTTCAGAAACCATTCTGATATGCTGATTGCTGCTCAAGAAACATTTCTGCATATTATACAAACTGCATATTATTAAGCGGATTCATATTCTTGTGGAAACCATGATACGTTTTTCAGGATTCCTTAATGACCAGAAAGTTCGAAATCACCAGCATTTATTTGAAACAGAAATCTTTTGTAACATTATAAGTCTTTCCTGTCACTTTTGATCAATTAAATGCATCCTTGTGCCATGGCACAGAGCAAATTCAAGGGACAGTTCACCCAAAAACGACAATTCTCATATAATTTACTCTCCCTCGCGTCATTCAAACCCAATAGTTTTAGATTAACTATTCCTGTAACTCTTTTGACAAATCAGTAATCAGTTATCATTTATGTAAACCGTTCAGCATTACAGAATGTTCTGAGTAAAAGCCTCATCATCAGGTCTAAACAGTGATGAATGGAGTCTGACATCATCACAGATGCTCAAAGGAACGCTGCTACGGCTGTGTTCAGATAACTTATCTGAAGCTGATCGACTGCTGTTCAAAGTCTGAAGGTGTAGCACAGTTAACTTGTGTGTGCATGTCGACAGCCTTCAAACACTTTCAATCACAGCTAAAGAGAGAATGGAAATGATATCAAAAGAGATATGTGTTTCTACCAGGGGCATTTTTGCTACATATACTGTAAGTAAAATCTGCAATACATTTCTCTGGTATGCCTCAAACCACCAACCTCACATGAGATAGAAGCGAAAAGGATGGAGTGAAGAAAGACGTAATGAGAGACGGATGAGGAGCAGAACTGACTCTTATTGATCAGTCAGCAGGAGGAACAGCATGAGCAGCAGAAGAAGTCAAGCCTACACATACACACACTCAAACCAATTTAGCAGTTTTTATGGCAATGGTGTGGCTATGTGGGTGGTAAATAGCCTCTTAAAATGTACAAATATACACCATTTTTATTTTCAGTGCACATTTGCCATTTCTGAAAATGCAAGAGTGGCAGGATTATGATCAGCTGTTCTTCTGAGCCCAGGACTGATGAATAATTAATTGCCTTCAGTTAACGGATCACAGCGACAAACGATTCTAGAGTCCCTGCATACCCGCATACGTCAAAGCACTATAACTTGAGCCATGTGGGCTGTATTTTCTCTCGGTCGGCTGAAATGCTTCATCATGCATGTGTGATGTGACTTCAGATCTGATGCCACGGCTCATGATGCTGATTTCCTCATATACAACCACTTCAAGTTCTTGCAAAGGTCTCATAAGATGCTGTATGGACATCTGTTCTGATAAACAGCATAATGTTTTAGATGTCCAACAGTGTCACATGCTATATAGTCCATGGAAAACTACTTGAAACATATTTATTTTAGATCATTCTTGAATAGTTATCACGCATTGTTTGACATCACATCAATTGAGAAAATATCTGGAATATTTGTACTTGTAGAAATTTTTGTCAGAACTGCAAAAAAGAAAAGTGGTGATGTTTTTTTTGTGTTTTTTTTTTTATTATTACCAGGGTCCAAAATATGAGACCCCCACTGAAAATCCCTCTATTTTGCATTTTACTATCCTAATCTAATACAATATTTTAATATAAATGCATATAGACACTGTAAAAATGCTCACCATTTCTTTGCAATTCTTTGTAAATAGCATAAGAAGTTTCTGAGTGAAAAAATAATTTTAAAACAATTCTAATATGCTTTATTTTGTGGTATTTTATAATTTAGAATTTTTTGAATTTCACTATTTTTTTTTATAAATATTACAAATACTAAAATAATCCTATTAAAATGTGCAGATGTAACCTTAAAGAACAAACCTGTAACCTAATGCAGTCAAGTTGATTCAGTAATAATAAATAATAAAACAGAAGTTATAGAAAATTGAAAACCTACAACGTTTAAAAAAATGTTTATAAAAATTATACTAATTTTGTTAATATATTTTATACTTTTTATAATGTTACTTTTATAAATACTTCTATATTATACATTTTATTTTGTTTTATATCAATTTCTGGATTTGTTAAAAATGAAAATGTGCAGATGTAAGAATGTGCAGAAGCTGTTTCTCTCTGATCAGCATAAGCCAATGTAGTTTAAACAATTTTATAAAAATGTTTCAAAGTAAACCCTACACCAATTTTCTTTCTCCATATAAATGAGTGATTTTCTATCCCTTATTCTCCTCAGCAATGACCAGCTTCTCTTTGCTGTCTGCAGCTATAAATAAAGTATAATCAAGCGGCACCCTGCACCGAAACTAAACACCTCTCTCCCAAAAGCTCTCCACACGGCCAGCAAAAACAGGCCGGATGTCCAAACACAGCGAGGCCGCCGCTGACACGCTGCCCTGCACAAGTCAACACAATTTCAGCCTATCGGCTCTACATCGAGTTGATTAGAGCAGTCCTGAAAGGTGACGGTACTGAAATAAGAGAAGAGCTGAGAGGGAAACTTCAGCACATCCTCAAGCACGTCTGTGATACTGACAGAAAAGCTTCTCGCTACAGCAATAGGGGTTGTAAAAGCCCTGTAGATGACACACTCAATCATAATGCATGATGTCACTATATTAATGTGATACTTACAGGCATATTTGCATAACTGACGACTGACGTCACTGGAATTTCATTCATTCATCATTCACTATAACTCACTATTTTTCAGCTTTTGTCATCTTGACTAACATTCCAATAAATTACATTTCAACGCAAAATCAAATTAAAGAAATTATATTTTGAAAACAAATAAATTATTTTTTATGACATTATTTTTGTGATGATTAAGTACATTTTGTTCTCAAATTTTCATTTTTATAATGCATCTAGATGTTTTTTGTAAATAATATTATTATCAATATTGATTCTCAGTAGATTCTATTCTATTAATTACGTTGCTCTATTACATAAAAAATTATTGGAATGCAATTTTTTATTATTAAAATGTAGCAAAAATCAAAGCCAATACAACAAATATCATGATAAATAAATTATTAAAACAAATAATTAAATAAATGATTGTCAATAAATAAATTACAATATATCCTCATTTTTCACATATTGATAATCACATAAAAATTATATACACTGAAAAAAGTGTTGAATTTACTTTGAAACCATTTATTTATTAAAGTAAATTTAATAAATAATGACAAATAAATAGCAAGTAACGCTTTGAATTAAACATGAAATTTTGAAATCGAAAAAATGAAATTTCTTATTTCTAATTTCTTATGTACTCCAATTATCTTTGTTTTATTTACAAGCTTGAAAAATACTTTTTACAGTGAACAAGCATAATATAATATAATATAATATAATATAATATAATATAATATAATATTTCTTTTGATTTTGGTGTGAAATCTAACCTGGACATATTCTTGACAGGTTTCGTGACATTCACCCTTACATATGCTATAATTTACTCAAGACAGACGTTCAGTATTTGACTTAGACTTAAAATATTTGTTCAGTATAAGACAATGCCTCACCTGGTAAATCCAGCCTAAAAGAGAAAGATGTCCCAGGACCTGCGAGTGACACTGGATACTCCTGACATCAGACCAGTGTTGGACTAATGGGTGTGTCTAAAGCTGCCACAACGT